CACCCTGAGTTTTCGCTTATATATGAAAAAGAGTTATAGCAATAGATCCGACTTTTATTTTATTTCGAAGAGAATGAACACATTGAGAATAATAAAATTATAACATTTTTCTATTTAAATAATACTTTATCGATATTTTAAAAAAAATACTTTTATGAACAGCCACTCACCTGTCTGATAGAGGCTCCAGCATTCAACATTCCAACTGCTACGGCACGATCCTGCATCAACATTCGTGCCATGTTTTATGTTTTTTCACTTATACAGTTAACAAGGATTTATGCAATATAAAATTTAATACTCACCACGCTCTCCACGAACATTTCGTGCCAAAATGTGTAAACCGCCCCCTGCCTCCCGCGTGAGTGCATGGAACCGTATTAAATTATTTTTCATTCCACAAATCGGTAGAAAATGACACAAAAATCACCTCTGCAAAATTTTATAAGGATCTATTGACCCGTTATAAAATAATCAAAATTTAAAAAGTGATCGGTTAGAACTTTTGTTAAGTGTATTGTCATTAATATCAAAACTTGTGAACCCACTTAACATCTCTATGAGTTGGTTTTCAATGCTCATACCGGATTAAGTTCAGCAAAGTTCCCATCTAAGTCAGTGGCATGACTGTGACAAAAGAAACACATTCGAATCAGTCTCTGGCTGTATCTGAAATTATAAAACAAAAACATGTTTGAAAGTGTAAGTAGAATGAAGAAAAAAAAATAGTGAAAAATTCTAAAATAAAGTAATAAAGAAAATTCAGAAAAAAATCACGTTTTTTCACTATATAAGTGTATAGTAATCAGTATATTAAAGTTACATAAGCTTCTTGACTGAATTTTTCTTTAGTATTTCATAGTATTTTGTCATTTCTAAATGAATGTTAATAAATATGTGAGAACTTAGGTTATTTAAAGGTCAATGTCTTATCTATATTATTCCACAAGTCTGTTTGGTCACAAGTGTTGTTTTGTCTGCTATGAATTAAATCCGTAAATAACAAAATTATGACAATTTAACCAACATTCAATAATTTCATTTAAAGCTCGAGGTCAAGGTCAGTTCAACCTTTTTGAATGTCTCGTTTGTCCAAGTATCAAAATAAGGCATTGCTTAATCAACAACTTACAATCAACTATAGCGATTATCAGTGAAAATAAAATAATTTGACACTCAAATTCATACATGAGTCAAGGTCCATTTGAGTTTGACATACATTAAGGTACTGACCTTAAATGTGTTGAATCTAAAAATTAAGTTATAGCCAGATAATATAACAAAAACATTTTAGAAGGTCCAAATTGTTGTTTTGTCCAAAGATGAAGATAATCCATTAATTAATTACCAAGTTTCAGTCAACTTTAGCAAAAATCAGAGAAAATTCAATAAATTAACCTTTAAGGTCAAGGTCATAAAAGAGCTAAGGTCAATTTGAGTTTGATATACATGAAGGTATTATCCTTAAAAAGGTTTTTTTTTACAAAGTTATAGCCAGTTACAGCAAAAAAAGGAAATTTCAATAATTTGACCTTCAAGGTCATGGTCATTTATGAGTGAAGGTCTGCTTTACTTGAGGTGAATCCTAAAAGATTATTATGTTCAAGTTTGAAGGCAATCCATTAAAAAATAACAAAGTTATAGCCACTAATAGCAAAAATCAGCAAAAAAAAACAACAACCAAAATCTAGACATTTGACCTTGAAGGTCAAAATCATTTATGAATGAAGGTCAAGATTAGTCTGGTCAACTTGAAATTCTTGTCCCAATGGTTGTTGTGGCCAAGTATGAAGACAATGCACCAAGATCAGATTACAGTTTGCGGACGCCGAAATGACCGTAGTAATACTTCTATTTTTTATTTTATTTTATACTCATACTTGAAACAAAGTTGAAATATTACCTTAAGGCCTCAACAGACGGTAGGATTTAGTTGCACAACACTAATTAGAGATAAGATGTACAATTTTCAAAGCAATACAACACTTGCATTCAGACGTGGTTCTGCATTGTCAAGAGTCCTATCCCTTAAGTACGGTGGCACAAAGGTGACATGTGTGTGTGTGGCCACGAGATACTATGTCGTGGCAGCGAGTTACTAAGTCGTGGCCACGAGGTAGCTAAGTCGTGGCCACGAGATACTATGTTGTGGCCACGAGTTAATATGTCGTGGCCAGGAGTTACTAAGTCGTGGCCACGAGATAGCTAGGTCGTGGCAACGAGATACTATGTCGTGGCCACGAGATACTATGTCGTGGCCACGAGTTACTTAGTCGTGGCCACGAGATAGCTAAGTCGTGGCCACGAGATGATTAACCAATCAGAATACACTACATATATATTATGATTTTTTTTAACTTTATAACTTGCAACATTTATACTTGAAAATACTGAAGATATTCACTTTGAACTTGTCTTTAGGATCACATTAGAAAGTCACCTTCCAAGGCCCATCAGACATTAATTTTGACTATAGCTCTTAGTTTGGACAATTTTGTGATCGAATTGGTCAGTTTGTACGCACTATGGCCTGTTCACCTTGTTAATACGATAACACGAGAAGGAAAAAGTCCTGATTTATTTTATTTGGAAGGGGGACATTGCCCATGGACTGCAGATAGCCTATATGGTAAATCCTTGTCTGATGAATAGTTTAGAAGGGATAATCCATGGTTTATATAATCCAGGAAGATCATTGCACCTGATCAGTACATGACATCTAATAATTTCGAGGTCATTAGGTCAAAAATCAGGGTCATAGTGACGCTAAATGAAAAATTATTGACCAGTCAATAAGTTGTATAAATAACTCATGGCCACGACATAGTATCTCATGGCCAAGACTTAGCTATCTCGTGGCCACGACTTAGTAACTCGTGGCCACGACATTATATCTCGTGCCACGAGATCAATAAAAACACACACACACATGTCACCTTTGTGCCACCGTACTTAAGGCCTCAACAGACGGTAGGATTTTGAAGTACAACACCAATTAAAACTAAGATGTACAAGCAAATCTTAATGTGTGAAGGCTACTATTTCTTGAATTCGTTTACGTAAGGGACAGGACATGTTCTATTTTGAAAATCTTGTCGTACAAATTTCTACAGACCTCCCACAATGACAATTAAGTAACAGATTACCAAATTATCTCTTGATAATGGGTGTAATGAATGAAATTCCAGAACAATTAGGGCTAAAAGGTAAACATAGTTGAAAGATGGGGTAAAAATGATGTTGAAAAACTCTTCAGGAGACCAAAAGTTGTAGTATGTTCGAATCCCAAATTGTTCCGAAAATGAAAATGTCACGGTATTGAACTGGTCTCTAATCAGGGGAGGTAGTTTGTAGACGGCCGGATAGCTCATTCAGTAGAACCGCAGTACGGTATTCCGAGGGTCCCAGGTTTGAATCTCGATCAGGCTGCACATTAAAAAAATTAACAATTTAAAAAAATTGAGGTGTTTCAATCATTACCCATGGAGAGAAAAATTTAGTGAGTAAAGTATGTAAGGGATCAATTGGGAGGGAACTTTTTTAGGGAAACCTGAGATGATTCTACCGTCTGAATGCAAGTGTTGTATTGCTTTGAAAATTGTACATCTTATCTCTAATTAGTGCTGTACAACTAAATCCTACCGTCTGTTGTGGCCTTTACATCTAGACTTAAGGTTTACGAATTCAAGAAATAGTAGCCTTCACACATTAAGATTTGCTTGTACATGTACATCTTAGCTTTAATTGGTTTTGTACTTCAAATTCCTACCGTCTGTTGAGGCCTTTAGGTGAACTTGACGTTTACTTTGAGGGGTATTTACTGTGAACGATTGAAATGTAGAATCACATCTGTCAATAATCGCTGTAAAGTCTGATTAAAAAAAAAACAAACAAACATAGATATATATATATATATATATATATATATATATATATATCTTTTTACATGTACAAAATATTACTATATAAAACAGGTAAACATGTAAATAGTTCAGGATTGTTGTATTTTCCCATCGAAGATCAGTAAAATACAAAGCGGACATTCAATCTCTGACACAGAATTTCACGAATGACCTAACAACAAGTAGTTCTCAAAACAGCTTAAAACTAGCGATTTAAAAGAAAGAAATATTTTAATTTTGTTACAAGTATCCAACAAATTACAACGCATTCAAAGTTTAAAAGTAGCGTTGGCTTATAGAATTGTCAATAAATACACAATCACAAATTACGCTTATGAATATGATTTTAATCAATGAAAATGCTATTTTTAGCGATGTCGATTACCGAATACTACTCAAATAAATCTGACTGCCGAGTAGTGGAATATATAGCTTCTACATGTCGGACTGTTTAGGCGAGACGATTTTCGCTAAATTATTTACTTAAATTTTAAACAACAGGTTTATCCTGAACAAAATACCTCAAAATTTATAAGGATTACAAACCCGAAATGCAATGGAAGTTCTAAATTTAGAATGACTTGATTTTATTCAGGCATTGTTTGTATAACTTCTTCGTGGTGCAGGGGTAACGCGCTCGTTTCTTGTGAGAGGTCTGAAGTTCAAATCCCAGTCGAGGCATCTTTTTTTAAATTCTTTATTAAGTGTCTTTGTTAAAGAAGTAGCCATGATATGCAATGATAAAGTGTGGATGTCATAAAAAATGAACATAAATGATTTTTTGATGCAACTCTAGTTATGCAAAATTCCGTATGTATCAAACTCTGGTGCCTTGCAAGATGAATTATAGTACATAAAAATATACTAATTAATACAAGATAATACATACAGATATACAGTACGATTTAGATTACTACCACAGATCTTGCAGCCCTTTGATTTTTTAATCGGAGAATTGACAACGTATACAGTTACATCTCGACTGGTTCCCTTCCCAATAAATTGTTTCATTCATCGTTATTCATATGGAAAACAGTTAGCATGGGACCAGTCTATATGTTAATTGTTAGATTAGTACATGTAGTTGCACGCATAAAATAAAACTGCAGAAGATTGTACAAATGTGACACTTTTCCATGATGGAGACAAATGTGAATATTCAATCTATTGACACAACAGGCAATGATGAGTATATTGATAATTACTGTGCTCCGTGTTCAAAAGACGGTAAGTTTAAAGAAGGTTCTAAATTCTGCGAAGATTGTGGAACGTATATTTGTTTACAGTGTGTGAAAGATCATTGTAAATTTTCATCTATGGAATCTCACCAGATTTTGGACGACGCAAATCGTGGATCAGAAAGTAGGAACAAATCCGGAACAGAACTTTGTTACAAACATCATGGGCGTATTCTTGACAAATACTGCAAGGACCACGATGAGGTTTGCTGTGGGGCATGTGTTTCTGGCAGCCATAGGTAAAACAACAATTATCTTTTTTATACACCAGTAACAGTAAATGAATTATATTCCATTTTTTGTTTGTTCCCCACGCTCAAGACTATAGTGTGTAATACCGTGAGATCATTTTATGTTTACATTTTCAATTTACGATATAAACATGGGTCACTGAGTTTTAAATTTAACATACTGTATTTATTTTTGCTCGATGATGAAACAAGTTCGCTTATTTGGGTATTTCAAAGATTTTTTCTCTTTTTGTGTCGCCTCTAAGGAGTAGTGGCGACATGTAGGGATCTTTTCTCCTCTGTCTGTCCGTCCGTCACAAAACTTGTCCTGACTATTATGAGGCGACACATGTCATCACAGTTGCTCCTTGTTTATCACATCTGTGCTAATTTCAGTATCCGCTTAAATTTGATATCAGCCTACCTTGAACTTATTTTAGAGATAAATAAAATGACTGTATATGTAGCTTGCAATGAAAATCCGTCGTATACCGCGGTTAGTACCGTGGTTTTTAGTAAAATACCATTGTATACCGTTGTACATGTAGGTAAATTTCATAGAATATTCATAGGTTAGGACGGGGTATATGGTTTAAAATAAGCAGATAATGTACAGCCTTCTGATGATTGAGTTTTTATATTTCGATTTCTGAAAACTTAATTTCTTTTAAGGTCATGTGTTAATATAATGAAAATAGAAGAGGCTGCGAAAAACGTTGATATAAAAGAACAAAAAGAAGCCAACGAATGTATGGACAAAGGTACCAAGTCTTAAATATATTATTGTATTGTGTTGTACTCAACATATAATTGAAAACTTATCATTGATTTTCTGGTGCAAGGTTTGCGTCGATCTGATTAAAAGGAACGCTCCTCTGATCTAAATAGTGCCTAGATGGCAAAACAATTTTGCCAAATATTACACATATATAAGATGTGAACTTGAGTCGGACTGAAGGTTTCATGTTTGTAGATGAGATAGTACATTTTACATGTATATTGTTTAATAGAACACTCCACTGTTTAAAAGTGCATTGCACTGTACGATCCATATGATATTTATTAAAGTAAACTCTTGTTATTATTCTTGAGATTATCTTTCAATGTTGTCTGAATATTTGAGAATACTTCTGACACAAAATGGCAAGCATGCTGGAAATTTATATAGAATTTAAACTATTGACACACTGTTGTTCTGCATTGGTGTACGATGAACATTGGTATAAGATGACTGGTCTTTAGATAATAAGATTTAAAAGGAAAGTGTAATATATCATTCCCACATTTTTGCATTTGTGCAAAGTAACATATAAGAGAATTGAGCTATGTAAGTTATTTAGAAACTATTGCTATCGATGACTTGAATGATATTTAGAAATTAGCTTTGTAAAAGATGATAGCAATGGTGTCAACAGCCCGACTGCTAATAGCAACGCGATTAAATCGCAAAACAGCTGCAAAGGCGAATTTATTTATAAAATTAATTTGAATGAGATAGCGAACGCAGAACACCTTTTAAAATAATTTTCTTTAAGACCTGGATCCGAATTTATCGCTGAATCATATTGTAGATTAAATTACTCATATTTATTACGAATACACACATGTATGTCAACAATTTAAAATAAACCCTTGTACGGGCCCCACTGTCTGACAAGCGAGGTATAATATATAATCTGATAATAATCGATATCTACTGAAGCGTGCAAGGAACGATTATAAACACGCAATGAAATTTTACGCTTAACAATCAGACCAAGCTAAGAAAAATAAAGAAATCCGACCCCAAATCACACTGGAAATATTCATATAGTCTTAGAGCAAACTGCCTTCGACTAATGACTTTTACGAATATTTAAAAAATGTAAATGCGAACACTGAACAGTTAAAGATCCTGTAACGTTTTAAATCTCAAATTTAGATTTATTAATATTGTAGGTTCCAAAAACATTATTTATAAAGATATTACCGAATTTAACATTTCATGTAAATAAAGGGAGGTACTTAGAAATTTATTTTACAATAAAAATGCATATATTTTAATGATTACATATTTATAATATGCGCAAATATTTGCAGTACATATTTTACATATTCTTCGATGTTTGAAAAATGTTTTATTTGCATTATTATGTACATATATATAATTTCACTTAGTGTGGTAAACCACTTTGATCACAACATACAGCATCTTTAGACCTGTTTGAATCTTATGAGACTGATTAACATACCTAATATCCCTTTTACCGAAAATGAAATTTCTAATTCAATAAAAAAAAATTGTAAAGCAGCAAGTAAGTCGGATAATTTCTTTAATCTACAGAGCATATGTTGATGTTGACGAAACTTTTTTATGTAATTCTTGATACCGGTGCATTCCTACATTTGACATGAAAGCTAAAATGTCCCATTTTTAAGGGAAAGGGAAATACTGAATTACCGGAAAAGTGTAGGCCAATTACGATTATGAGCTGTCTTGGGAAATTATTTACCTCAGTTTTAAATGATAGGTTGCCTAAATTTGAAGAAATGTCATCAGTGCTCAAATAGATTTTTTTTTCACTTTTGCCCATATAGCCTTTCTAGCCTAATAGATTTCTAATCAATTGCCAAAAAGTATTTATATATTTTTCATATTTGAAACTTGCATCCTTGGAATGAGTAACTAAGGCGTCAGTTGGATCAAGGTCACCGGTACTAAAAATAGATTTTTACACTTTTGCTCAATAGCCTTTATTTATTGACAGATGTCTTTCGTATTTGGTAGGAAGATATCGTGAATAGTTTTTGGATTGAGTAAGGGGTCAGTGAGTCAAAGTCAAGGGTGCCAAAAATAGATTTCTACATGTTTACTTATACAGCCTTACTTTTTATACATTGGCGTATACAGCCTTTATTTATAGCCTGAAGCTTTTCATATTTGAAAGGAATATATTTTGGATAGTCCAGTGCTAGGAGTCACAAAGTAAATGTCACTTGTAACGACAATAGATTTTTTTACACTTTTTTATACCATACAGCCTCTGTATTTTTTACCAATGTCTCATATATTTACAGGTGGTCCTTTTAGTTCGGATGAAGTTTGGGGTCACATGGCTCAAGTTAAAGTATTGCATTTTCATGTAAAGATACTAGTATTTGATGAAGTTGAATATTTTTTAACTTCATTACAATTCATAGAAATGACTTGCCAACTTATATTTTTCACAATTACAAAACGCCACGATTCTGTCAAGTTATATAACTGTGCCTACAATTTATTTGGCAATATTTCGTCCTTAACTGAGTGAGTGGGTAAACATTTTTTGAATAATTGTTACTGACAAGAATCTGAGTCGGGGCATTTGTGTTTAATAAACATGTTCTTGTTTTTTAATGGTTTTTTGTGTCGCCTATACGGAGTAGTGGCGGCATATAGGGATCACTTCTCCGTCGTCTGTCTGACGTCTGTCCGTCTGAAACTTTACAGGATTCATCTGTAGCTAAAGTCCTTGCGCATATTGCACGGGTTTTCCGGTTGGTTGTTTTTTGGCCGAGTTATGGCCCTTTGATAAAAAGGTGTTTTTTTCTGTGTGTTGCCAGATACACAAAAGCTTGTCCGGACTACTCCTTATAAACTACTGGTGCAATTTCATCCAAACTTTACAGGAGTGATCAATACAAAGTTCTAGTTGTGCACTGTTCGTCTGTCTGTCCGTCTGTCACAAAACTTGTCCCAACATGAAATTGGCTATCATGAGGCGACACATGTGATCACTGATCGCTCTTGTCTTTACATATATTTATATATAATTATTCATGATAATCATATTTATATGATGTAGTAATTTGTCGTACAAATGGAATAATATATATGTTCTTTTCTTTGTAATAGTAATAGCAAAGATTATAGCGGAACAAGATGAAAGAGGGTTGCTTTTATCATTGATCGATCAGGAGGCATTTGTCATTCTAAAGGACATAGATAAGCAGGAGGAAAGTATCATCAAAAGAATTAAAGATCTTGCAGAGGCGTCTCGAAAAGAAGTGGTTTCCAGACATGCTAAATTTGAAACGGATATAAAGGCTGATGTCAAGGAGTTAGAGTCGGTGTTGTCAGTATCTGAGGAAGTTTCAAAAAAGTTAAATAACTCTAACTCGAGTGCTGTACAGGCATTTGTCTGTGTCAGAAAAAGTAAAACGGTAGCTAAAAGCGTTTCAGATACATTGGAGGAACTATCTAAATGTCGCAGTTTTTCAATTGATTACTGCTTCAACAATGAGCGAATACAAAAGTTTGTGGGTATGAAGTCGCTGGGTTACTTCGAAGAGACTGCAAATATACCGTATAAGGCTAAAAAGCAAGGAATGATCAATGTAAAGTTGGAGAAAGATGGAGACTGCATCATAACTGGTATTTGTTTTCTTGAAAATGAAACCATTATCATTGCTGACTCGAAAAACAAAAAACTTAAAATGTTGAATGAAAATTATGAGATGAAAAATAATATTGCATTGGCGGGATATCCTTCCTCGTTATGTAATGTAGGGCCACATGAAGTAGCAGTTGCTTTAAGGAATGAGGGAAAGGTTCAGTTTGTATCTTGCGATGATACATTATCTTTAGGATTTTCATTTAGTACTTCTCAAAGATGTGCAGGGCTGTATTTTGACACAAAACATGACGAATTGTACGTTTCCTGCGATAGCTGGGCACAATTTAGTACATCCAAGGTACGCGTGTTTACAAAAACCGGTATTCTCACCAGAACCTTCGAAAAAGATGAGACAGGCAAGATGTTATTTCTTTACCCCAAGAATATCACTATGGAGCCTATTACAGACACAGTATATATTGCAGATGAGCGGAATGGAATTATTGCTTTACACAGAAATGGTAAACTTAAGTGGAAATACCAAAGCCCTGAAGTGCGTGATTTAGCAGGAATATGTATGTTACCGGGAAACCAAGTGCTAGTTACAGGCTGTTCATCCAAAAATTTAGTTCAAGTTGGAGATGACGGTAAGGAAGTATGTGAGCTACTTGGTGCTTCAGAAGATCTGCCCATTCCATATACTGTGGTCTGTGATAAAAGGAATTCGAAAATTATAGTAGGAGGCGCCTCGAATGAAATACATATCTATGCATTACGGACGGAGAAAACGATATCTAATGTATAGGTAAAAGTAATTTTAAGTTGATAGTTTGTGAACAAACTATTCATACTGTTAGAAAAGGTGTATGAATCCGTGTATTAACAATTCTAATATGTAGATAAAAGATGTGGAACAGACCTTTAGAAATTTATACACAAACAATGTTTGAAGTTGTTGTTGAATTGCTTAAACTAAATAGTTTTGTTTGATTTGTGGTATTAATCAGATATTATGATTATTATCATTTTTTTGCAATTACCTATTTAACATAATTATGTATCTTATCTAAATGGGAATAAAGTAAAGCTGCAAAAACAATGGTTTCTACATTAATACATTAAATATGAGTTTTAACATTTTTATACACCCGATTCAAAAACGGATCGGCCGGCGGGCGGCGTCCAATTTTGTCCGGAGTATATCCCCTATACGCATAGAGGAATTTTAATGAAACTTCGGGGGGGGGGGGGAATGTTATTGACGCCACACGGTGCATTTCTAATTAGCGACGTAATACACCCAGTGTAGCGTAGTACGTTACGCCACATGTACATCAATCGTAAATTTACACCGATGAAAGATTTTTGCACATGTATTTATACCCCCGCAAAACAAAGTTGTAAGGGGGTTATACTGGAATCAGCTTGTCCGTCCGTCCGTCCGGCTGTCCGGCTGTCCGTCGGTTTTTTCTTGTCCGCCCAATAACTTAAGATTCCTTTGACCCACAGTCTTCATATTTGGCATGGAGGTTAGTCATGATTAGTAGATGACCCCTATTGACTTTGAGGTCACTAGGTCAAAGGTCAAGGTCACAGGGGCCTTGACTTCAAAAAGCTTATCCGCCCAATAACTTAAGATTCCTTTGACCTACAGTCGTCATATTTGGCATGGAGGTTAGTCATGATTAGTAAATGACCCCTATTGATTTTGAGGTCACCAGGTCAAAGGTCAAGGTCACAGGGGCCTTGACTTCAAAAAGCTTGTCCGCCCAATAACTTAAGATTCCTTTGACCCATAGTCTTCATATTTGGCATGGAGGTTAGTCATGATTAGTAGATGACTCCTATTGATTTTGAGGTCACCAGGTCAAAGGTCAAGGTCACAGGGGCCTTGACTTCGAAAAGCTTGTCCGCCTAATAACTTAAGATTCCTTTGACCAATAGTCTTCATATTTGGCATTGAGGTTAGTCATGATTAGTATATGACCCCTATTGACTTTGAGGTCACCAGGTCAAAGGTCAAGGTCACAGGGGCCTTGACTTCAAAAAGCTTGTCCGCCCAATAACTTAAGATTCCTTTGACCCACAGTCTTCATAGTTGGCATGGATGTTGATCATGATTAGTAGATGACCCCTATTGACTTTATTGACTTTGAGGTCACCAGGTCAAAGGTCAAGGTCACAGGGGCCTTGACTTCAAAAAGCTTGTCCGCCAAATAACTTAAGATTCCTTTGACACACAGTCTTCATATTTGGCATGGATGTTGATCATGATTAGTAGATGACCCCTTTTGTTTTTGAGGTCACTGGATCAAAGGTCAAGTTCATAGGGACTTTGACTTCAAAAAGTTTGTCCACCCATTAACTTAAGATTCCTTTGACCTACAGTCTTCATATTTGGCATGGATGTTGATCATGACTATAAGGTGACCCATATTGATTTTGAGGTCACTGGGTCAAGGTCACAGGGACCTTGACAAAAAAAGCTTTTCTTCTCAATTGCTAAAGAATGTCCTGTCCGCAATGTATTGATTTTGACATTTTCACATTTGAAGCATGTAGAATACATAACTTAGCAATGCACTGGCTTAGTAACCTCAGATTTGGCAGGGAGGTTGTCCTTGAGCTCTAAATGGCCACTGTTGATTCTGACAAAGTGGTATGCGGGGTTATTCACGCCATGATAGTGGCAGTTCTAGTTTTCTTGTTTTACAAGAAAATGAAAATCAACGAATTTAAGAACCCACGAAAATGCCCTTTTTGATAAAACCACGAAATTTCATGCCCACGAATTTATATGAATTCACGGTATCTCCTGTATGCATATTTATAATGCTCACATCTCTGCAAAAAGGTTTTGTGACGTGCGTATTTTGTGACACTGTTGCCCTTGTTAAGAAAGGCTTATGTTACGAGCTAAACGCAACAGTGAAGATAACGCAGCAACAAATTTTAAAATTTTTAATTAACGAAAAACAGTAATTTACAATATTACAAAAAATATGAAAGTAAAGTTTAACTTACAATCGTCCACGATTTAAATTTAAAATGCACGTCACGTACACTATTTACTTGTCACTTCACAAAATTAATAAACATTGATGGTATAAACTTAAAAAGTAACTTAAATTACGAGAATTTCATAATTTAATGTGATTAACTATGTCATGGTACTAAAGAGTCCCGGTTGAATGATACTGAAAACTATAGCTGGCAAATAACATTTAAGCGGTCACTCGATCACGTGTCAGTCCGTTTGACACTTACCGCCTTGCCAATCCACTTTCAAAGGAATACCGCTTGTGTAATATTATACAATTATTGACTAGTTAGCCATTGAATATGATGTGATATTCACCGGCAGGTGACAGATAGCCTCGGTCAATATGACTTTCTGCCGGTGAATATCACATCATATTCAATGGCTCACTTGTCAATAATTGTTTTATTATATGAAAATGCTAAGAATTAAAAACATTCACAAAAAGTACAATCTTATATACATTGTACAATTTGTACAATGTACAAATTTTGCCTCGTTGAAGCGCGGGAAAAAAAAGACGCACGTGTTAGGCGTGCAACGACTTCACGAACGCTGCGCATACAAAAGTAATTCAAGTTTATACTCATCATTGCGGGGTAGCCTTTAAGTATAATAGTAAAGTGATGATATTTTAATCGAGAAATATGCCAAAAAGAACAAAACCAATAATTATTTTTTAATTAACACGCGTAATTAACAGTCCACGGTGTATGGTCATTGAATATTAGTCTCAATCTATTTTTAGACTGGGAAAATCCAATTCAGCCAGTGAATATGATTTTATAAAAATTTCTGTTGACTACAGTTTGTACCAATGAGATTGCAGCTATTTTAGATCATATAATAATATGTAATACATGGGTAATAAAATTGTATCTTTAACACCATGCTGTTTCAATTTAAATTACTGATGAAAAAGTCATTGTATGATACCTTGAACAGGACTTTTGGTCATTGAATTATTAGTCCAGCTAACTTTGTATATCTGTTATAAATATCAATTCACTCGGTAACTCGGCAAGCCTCGTTACCGCCCAATGGGCGGGTCCCCTCGGGACGGATATTCCGGTCCGAACCGCAACATATGACATATATTATTAATCTGATATCGTAATTTGAAAGCTTCATTAATATATTGACAAAGCATAATTGTTTCTTTATTTTTATCACTTTGTAATAATTGAGTAAACTTAAACATACTTGGTCTATTTCTATAATAATTCTTAATATATATATTTCTTAAATTTTCATATGCAGGACACTTAAACACAAAATGGAACTCGTCCTCAATTTCATTTGTATTGCAAATTAAACAATATCTTAAATTACGCTCTACTCTTTCACGTGAATATCTACCTGTCTGTATTCTAAGATTATGAGCTGAAATACGCAGTTTTGTCAAAGCTATTCTTAGTTTTCTTGATACAATATTTTCTAAATAAGGTGACATTTCAAAACTGTCCTTTACTGATTTATATAAAAATAATACATCATTACAATTAATACTAGCTCTCCATTCTTGTAAATATTCATCTATTAATCTCTGTTTAAAAACGACAATAAAACAATTTTGATAAGCGCTTTAAGGGTTTAACCATACATAAAAAAACCGTATTTTTCTAAAAGACTTCGTACATTTGCAAACCAGTTTGTATACCCTATATTTATATCAGACATACATGAATTAACAATTGTAGTTATAATAATATTACTTGAACTTATTATCTTAAACCAAAATTTTACAATTCGGACATATCTGTTTATATACAACGGATATCTTCCAAGTTCACCATACACAGTTACGTTACTAGTAGATTTTCTGACACCAAGAATAGTTTTACAAAATTTCAAGTGAAAACCCCATACTTCACTTGCATACATTAAAATAGAACCAATAAAAGAGTCGAACAACTGTAGGGCTATTTTTGGTTTTGTTTCATATTTTTTCAAATTTGCCACTAAATTATTTAGGGCTTTTAAACTTTTACCATACAAAGTTTGAGTATTTAAGTTAAAATTTCCTGTATAATTCAATGTGACACCTAGATAATTAAAATCATTTACAATTTCTATATTATCTTGACCATATAACCAGTTTTCTCCTGCTCTAAATATGTCTAAACGTTCACCAAATATAGAACATTAATCTGATAAATTATTCCTAGTAAACCTCATTGGTGTCCCTTTAATACTGTAATGATGAGTTATAGTTAGGGTATCAACGAATGTGGCGACAAGGGTCAATCATAGGAAATTAATCGAGACGGAACAGCTGCAAAAGACCTCTCGTATGCTTCTTTTTATAAAAGCAAACTTATATTATTATACTTCGAGATTAATGCGATGTTTCTTACTTTTAGAGCTCTTGAAATAAATAAAGACAGTCTACACAATATTTTGTGATTATTACAGTCTAACAGTTCAATAAACTTGAACATATCAGGACGATTTCTGTAGTACTTTAGGACGGGATATATAATTTTCTCAAGTTTTCATATTTCTCACATATACACACAAAATGAAAATCGCCCTCAATATCGTCTTTGGTACATAATAACCTACTTACTATCGTTTATTTCTTGTTTTTATGGCGACCCTGCTCTTTGGCTAAACAGTGCGAAGAAAGTCTAAATTTAGCCAATTTAAGACATTTCTGAATTTGTTATAATTAAGTATTGTCAAGACATTTCAAAAGTTTGTTTTATTTCTTTTATATTGAGTCAATGCCGTTGATATATAAATGTCTTTAGTGTGTAATAAAGCACTTTATGTTAACAACAGATGTAGGAAAGCACCAGACATCATTAAACCCCGTCTCTTGTAACATAGTCTTGACAACCAACTCAAATAGAAAACTATGAACATAATATAAAATACAATTCTTATCGTGTAAATTGAATAGTTTGAAAACATATTTTATTATTTTTACTTTTCTATTTAAAATTAATGGAAACGTCTCGTTTCACCAAAAAGTGCATAACTGGGACCGTTTGTTCTCATTTTTAAGATATTTTCTATGAAGTCGCTCTAGCTTTCCTGCTTG